TAAATAGAATCAATATTATCTGTACTTCATAAAAAATGTATTTTAATATATCATTTTAAAAATATATTATAAGAAAATAAAGCCATTAATAAATTAATAGAGAAAGGAATAATTTTAATGAATATATATGCTTGTTGCAATTTATTTATGCTATTATCAAAGTATATAATCTAATAACAAATACAATGTAACATAGAATATAGGTAATTTAAAAATAATTTAAGAATAATAAAAAAATATCTAAGGAAATTCCATTGAATAGTTAATAATATATTTTTCAATCTACATTATAATTTATATATTATTAACAAAATTATATTCAATAAAAAAAGTTAGCTTTTACTTTAGAAATTATATTGAAAACAATATTACTATTTTTTATTTTTTAATGGTTAAATCGGTTTTATTCAGAATTTATTTGACATTGAGAAAATAGTTTTATATGTCTTAATAGCCGTCGTGCATTTAGTTATAGAAAAACAGAATTAAATTTTTGTGAAAATATCCAGTACTTGTTTTTCTTTCATTAACTGGACATCGTAATTCTGTTTTAAAATGTTATTATGCAACACTTCTTTAAGAATTATATGTAGCATTATTATAATATAGAATAATTGTATTTGTACAAATCAAATCAATTGTTATTAATTATGAGTTATAATTATGAGCGTATAGCGAAGTTTAATGTAATTATTGTAATAAATATTAATTACCATGACGACACGACCAATGACATTTTAAGGCTAGTGCTAAAAGCATTTTCTAATTTCTTTGTAACTATTTATTCAATTAACAGTGAAACAAAGAAAAATTGTAATACTTTCGATAGAGTAGAAACTTTAATATATTTAACGAAATTGTTAATTTCCAACAGAAAACTTACGTTAACTCCATGAAATTACTTTCAAAGCGAAAAAGTTGTAATTGCATATACGAGAGAGATGCTACAAATTGTTTTCACGATTTTTTTTCGATTTTTTTTCGATTAAAAATAGTTTAGTTCATATTAGAATTTTAATGGTGGGCTCACACAATTATCAAACGAAAAACGATAGCAAGTCCCGTTAATTATAATACATTTATTATGTTTGTTATGCATCCTTATTAAAATTTACCCTACTAAATAAACGTTTTGTTTGTCTGTCTGTCTGTCTGTCTCTCTCTCTCTCTCTCTCTCTCTCTCTCTCTCGCTCCCTCTCTCCCCCCTCTTCTTCTTTCTTTCTTTATATATGCATGAGTGTCTTGAATTCCCGATAATTGAAGTTTTGATAGGAAAGGAATTTAAAAGCAATGTAGTGGTAGTGTCGTACTTCTGGTGGTGGTGTATGACATTGGTGACATTCAGCTCAGCTAACCTCTCGTTAATCGCGTAGGAGCATGAGCAAGAGAGTTGTCGGCGGTCGATTGGTGGGTGTCGGGTGATGGGTGGCGGGTGGCGTTAGGTGCGTGCGGCGCGGGTCGGGGGCGGTGAGTCTCAACGAGCAAAAGGGACGGAGAGAATTACAGAGCACAAGAACCCGTGTGAGGTTAGGTTGTGTGTGTGTGTGTGACGTCTCCCCTCGACGCGTGCCCGTTCCTTCAGTTAGAGTGAAAATTTCCACTCCAACGGCAAGCTACTTTAGTCCTTACCCCGGTGATCGAGTTGGTAACCGCTGCACTCCCGAGGGCGAAAGGTCACATCTCGCGGATGGAGCGAAATATCCCCACTACTACGCGCCTGTGTCACCCTTTTCTCTCGGCGCAGAATCATGAGCTAACGACCAGCTGAGGTTTTCCATAGGTAGCTACGGCCCTGGCTTAGAAAGGAGCGGAGCTGCACACACGAGGCCATCCGTAAATTGCCGAACTCGCTCGATCTCACTTCCCCTATTCGCCTTTACAGACACTCGCGCCACTCCCCCTTCCACGACATCATCAGTTCCGTCCCGTCCCGACCCCCATGTCCTGCTCGTTCGGTCTATCTCTTTTCTCTCTCTCTCTCTCTCTCCTTCCTGCTTGCTCCACTGTTTTTCTTACATTGTAGGAACTACTGGTGTAGTGGCGACTATCTCTCCATCTATCTATCCAGGCTTGATGTTGTTGGGTGACGGGTGGTGGAGCGTTTGTTCCGTCGGGTAATTGGCGGGGGTGGGAAGAACAGTTCGGAAGGGTACTAGGGGAGGGTAAGCAGCCGGCAGCAGCAGCGAGGAGCGCCATGCGCAACGGTGTGGCTATTGACTGAAACTCGCGTGGCATCGAGTGACAGAGTGAGACAGAAAGAACCGGCCGGTCAGCTGTGAAAGCGTTGGCTCGCGTGTGGGTGCACACGTATGTTAAGACCATAGGGTGGCCGTCCCGGCTGATCATCGTCATGCAGGAAGAGTGCACGGCTTGCACACAACTACGTGCATACATACTTGCATATGTGTATAAAGAGAAAGAGAACCCGGTAATTACGGATTTTATACGCGTGGCGTCCTGCTGCGCTTTCCTTTGTGTATGCACACGGTGACAGACAGACAAACAGACAGACAGACAGAGAGAGAGAGAGAGAGAGAGAGAGAGAGAGAGAAAGAGAGAGAGTGCGTCCACGCGTATCGCGTGAGCGATAAAGGAAGCGGACGGGAAAATCGACTATATCGGAGTTTATTCGCTACAGCCATGGAAAAGAAGGACGGAAAGGGTGGACTGGAGGAGTAGGTCGAATCTCGACGTTGTTGGCTGGGCTACGAGACAAAGAAGAGTTTCGGACACAAGGAAACATAGAAAGTCTCATCGGCGAAAAGCCGAGCTGCTGCCCGCTGAACAGCTGAGGGGAAAAGCCGTCGACAGTCACGGACGGAGAAGGGGAGGGAATAGAGCGAGAGCGAGCGAGGGAGTAGAACTGATTACCATTAGTTCGGCTCGAATGAAGGAGTGGGAGAAAGAGGGGACGTCTTAGCGAATTAGTAGTGGTTTAAAAAGCTGGCACATTAACGTGGCTTTTGTCGATTTTGCGCGGCGATTCACGCACGGCAGCCCTATAGCGTGACATTACGTTATGTTTGTGTAGTCTCCAAAATGATTAGAGCGGAGTAGGCAGCGGAGGTATACCGCTATTATATATGCGCGATCTAAAGAGAATGATGGAGCACGCAGATCGATGCGAGATAGATCGATCTCCTGGATAATTCTTTTATAGCGCGTGATGCGAGCATTATACATTCGTGTACGAGGGCTCAAATGCGTCGGTGTCGTACGTCAAGAGAGTGTACGTGCGCGGACAGGAGCACGCGCGCACGTACCTGCGTGTGGGTAAGCGAGTGCATCCCTACACCTTTATGCATTGGTAGAGGATCCCCACCGACCGGCGTGTAATACGTCACTCTCGTGCATGCTCTCGTGGTTCTTCTCTCTCCTTTGTGTGTCGACTACGGCCGCTTGCGCGCGTGCGCGCTCTCCTACGGTCGCCCATCTTTCTCTCGCGCGTCTCAAAAATTCACATACGCGAAGGCTGCACGAAGTGAGCGGAGAACGAGTGACTTGATTCGAGCTGCGGCGGCAGTTCCTCGTCTGACGTACGACTGGTCGCGCGTGTCGTTCCGTAATCACGGAGCGCCTTCGGCTCTGAAAGCGAGAAACAGCAAAAAAGACAGACGGACGGAGCGCAGCAGTGTAGTGCGCGAGTGAGATGGACCGAGGGTAAAAAGATAAGGGAAAGGAGAAGGAAAAGATTTTTTTTCTTTTTTCTTTCAAGAAAGGAAGGTTTTTATGGCTTTTTTAAACAAGGCGGATTTGAGAACGCCAACACGGATAGACTAGAAAGACGAGCTGCCATGAAAGATTAATTGCCCGATAGGCGAGGAGGATATACGATCGAAGAAATAGAGAGAGAGAAAAAGAAAGAGCAGCGTTAACCGGAGGAAGTGGAGCCGATTGGTAACAAACGCTGCTCGTATTTTTCAGAAGACGAAGTGAAGTAGTGCGAGGGAGGGAGGGAGAATGTGCCTCTGGTGACTGTCGTTTGCAAGGTCGCAACGGGAAAAGGGATTCGGCGCGTTTCCGTCAACGTTAAGCGACTTCCACTTGGAGGATGATATCATAACAGCACTAATTTCCCCGAGGCTCAGGTATACGGCAAAAGGTGGTAGAGAAGGAACGTTAGCTTAATCGAGGAGTAGCGCGCGCAGTGGTCGCGACCGGTCGACGTCTATCGTCTGCACCGTCTCTCTGGAAGTTCCTTTCTTACCGACGGCGAGACAACCTCAAGCGCATCAGCGGATGATGACGCGAGGAGGTAGACGACAGGAAGAGAAGACGAAACAAATTCACTCGTTTTTCGGTAGACCGAACGAGTGAGAGGAAAGGGGCGGGGGAGCGAGGAGTTCACGAGTCGTGAGTGCGGAGTCGGACGCATGAATCGGATTGATTCGATTATTATAAAGTGGTGAGTACCTCGATAGCGATCCTTGCCGATGACGACGTTGTCGCGTTCGATTTTAAATAGCCTCGCAAAAGACGACGTTATTCGCGAGTGCGTGCGATAGCCAAGAGAACAACCGGGTGCTATTATCAAGGGTGAGAAAAAAAAGACACGACGATGAGATGAAGTGGGCCCTCTCTAGGAGCGATTAGCGGCGACCTTGAGCGAGCCAGAGAGCGACGACGGCGGCGGCAGCAGTAGTCGACTCGCTCCGCCGTGGGTCACCGATTGAGCGTCGCTTGTGTGCGTGCGTGCGCGCGCGATACGTGAGCGCGACCTAGGTTCCCAGCTAAACACAAGTATTCGGCCGCGCGTTCAAGCGTCCGCAGTGGAGCGAGAATGAGAAAAAAGGGAGCGGAGAGAAAGACACTTTGAGATTTCACGTTCGCGATACGCGACGGCGGCGGCGGCGGCGGCGGCGGAGGAGGAAGAGGCGCGAGAGAACAGTGGCAGCAGGGACAACGAGTGGGAAAGGGAGAAGTGACTGAGTCGGAGGAGGAGGAGAAAGACAGCGATAAAGAAAGAACGAAGAAGAGTAGGAGGAAGAAGGAGGAGGAGGTGAAGTAGAAGATAAAGAAGAGAAGGAGAGGAGGAAGCATAACTCTCGAGAGAAAAAGAAACGAGCGACTACTGGTTTTCAGCTTTCTGCGGCGCTTGCTGGACCTCTTTCGTTCCTGAGCGCATCCACATACATATTATAACTTGGAGGTCGAAGCGGAGGTGCATGCGCACGACCCTAAGCTCTAAACCGGTTGCAGTCTCATTTTCAGCGACACTGCTGCTACCGTGAACACGAAGACGTCAACCGGACTTTAATAGGCGAATCGATTACCAATTCAGGATGGAAGATCGTTCTGGCGGTTCGCTTAGGGAGTCTCAGGACTCGCCGGAGCAATCCATAGGTAGCGCAATATAATTGTACGTAGGGGAGAGGCAGCCCGATGCCCAAGCCATCCCTTGGCAGTGATGAAGCGCGTCAGCGCCTCCCTCACGAGCGTTACAGCCCAACAGCAGATGCCCGTGGCTGCGCCGAATCTTCACTATCAGCCCATTGCTCACGGTCACGGTAACCTTGGTCCGGGCTGCAGTAGCGAGGAATATACCAAGGAACAGCAGCAGCAACAGCAACAACAACAATTACAACAACACCGTTGCGAAAGCGATGAAGGGAAGGGTGTCGTTCCGGCTAAGTCGCCGGCAACGTCCCGACTCCTAGCCGTCGACTCGGAGAATTACATGCTGCGTAAGGGCACGAGTGGCGCCAATGAGCAGCAATCGGTTCAGAAGCCGTCATCCAGTCCCTTGCCATTCGTTCAATTGGGTCCTGGCAACAGCCAACAAACTAGGCGACCCGGCGGACTCTTGTGCGCCGGCGTGTCACCGGCCAAGCAGCTGACGTTGCCGAGTAGCGCCGGATGGCAACAGCAGCAGCAGCCGCAACAGCAGCAACAGCAGCAACAGCAACAGCAACAGTCGTCGCCGCCGCCGCCACCACCACCACCACCACCACCGCCACCTCCACCGCCGCCGCCACCGACCAGCACAATCAGTAACGGATTGGACCAGCAACTGGAGGGAAGCGGACGAAGAAGGAGTGCCTCGAGGAGCTGCGCTAGGCTCACCTCATTTCATCGTCTGCTCTGTTGGTGCGACCTCGACAACGAGGAGAAGAGCTCCTTAATCGCGAACGGCAACGAACGCTTTAATAATAATAATAATAACATCAGACACGGACGCCACATTAACAACATCAATAACAACAACAACAACAACAAAAATAACAACAACAACAACAACAAAAATAACAACAACTATAACAATAATGACAGTAGGAAAAAGAACAAGAACAAAAGCGGTAACGACGGCGGTAGCGGTAGCAATAATAACAATATTAGCGGAAGAGGCGAGAAAGCGAAAGTGCTTAGACTAGATGAGGGCATCGATATTCGCGTTGAAGGCGATGTTGATGAGCTAGAGGAGGATGAGGGGGATGATGGTCAGGAGAGGATTGGGGTGGGGATAGGGGATGAGGAGGGCGATGAAGAGGAGGAGGTGGAAGAGGAGGATGAGGAGGAGGAGATAGATATTGAGATATTGATAAATAATGAGGTAGAAGAGAGCGCAGACGATGATGATGGGGATGATGTCGTTGAGGCGGGGAAAAGCGATTGTCACCGGGCTAGGCTCGACCCCTTGTCCACTAGTGAACGGTGTTGCTGTATGTGTGGTTCTGTTTGTCCCGCAGAGTGCCACGCGTGCTTCCATAGCGTATGCTCCGAGTGGGCACATCGGCGGCCCTGCCAATGGAGTCCCAAGGGTCATGCGCAGCCTGGGCAAGTCTACGACACGGACAAGGTAAGTGCTGAAAGATTTTACAAATACTTCTCCCCTACCCAGACCGTAACTTAATTCTGATGTTATGAATGCAATTGTCCCTATCATTGGCTTTTGCGTCAATGCATTTGGATCCGCTAAATAAAACTCTTCGGAATGTCTATTGAATCTCGTAAGTGACCAAAAAAAGTAATACCAGAAAATCTAATTAAATATATATAATATATAACACGTATAAGTCTAAAAAGTTCAACTTCCGATAAATTATTTTATTTTAATAATTAATTATCTTTTTAATCATTCTTTCTAGAATTTGGTCTAGAATTTGACTCAACAGATAAGATCTAATTAAAAGTTTCTTTTCATTTCGATCAATTTTTTGTATCGCAACAAATAATTTTTAATTAATTTTTAATAAATAACAACGATTGTATCAAAATTATAAGGAAACATACGGTTTTATCAATTTACTAAAAATTTTTTACTAATTTACTAAAAACACTTTATATATTTAAAAAGTTAATTATTCAAAAATATTCGTTAAAGTAAGAATAAAAAATATCTATCATCTGCGCTTATGTTGATATAGTTTTTTCCTTTTTTCAATAGTAATGGATTTTTTCACTTCGCTTTGGCATTTTTCGATAGATAAAAAATTGAAAATTTAATCGGATGAATCAGAAATAGAACAGATTGAAAAATAAATATCTACTATTTAATTAATTAAAAATTGTTAATTAATGGATGATGATTAATGGATTTATGTTAACCAAGACTCGACTGTAAGCTTTAATCGAATAGGTTTGTCAATAGGGAAATTTAAATGATATCGGAAATCAAAGCAATTCAGAACTGTGCGATTAATAAATCATAACGAGTAAGAAAAGTACGCTCGCCTTAAATTTAATTTAATTTATTCATTTATAAATAAAATGTGTTACGTATAACAAATATAATGCTCATTCAAATGTGTAATTGTATGCTAACATGCAATTATTAAATACATAGCTGCAGAACATTAATTATTGAAACTTAATTCTATTAAGTTTCTAAAAAATGTATAATTCATAAAAAACTTTAATGAATCTTAGATTAGTTCTTCTTTTATAAATACTTTAAAAATTTTTAATTCCAATTCAAGAGTTTTATTTCATGAGTCAATCGTTTTATGTAATGTAACGCCGTACATTAGTATTTTATAAATAAAAATTGGTTGAGTGAGAAGAGAATCAGATTTTTTGAAGTTAATTGATTCTTTCATATCTTTCTATTATTTTCAATAAATGTTTTTAATAATTGCTCTTCATTATGAAAATATATATCTTTGTTTTTTTAATGAACATTTTTGATAAATTCTTATTTTGTATCATTATTATTACACTAAGTTGTAATTAATTATTTATGAGGAAAAAAGATTTCATATGGAATATAAGAAATTTATGAATCGAAAATATATGTATAAATGAAAAAAGTAGTGACCTCATTATATAAAACCCTAAAATACCATCTATATCAACGTTATATTGAATAAATCATAATACATCATAAATCCTTCAAATTTTTTTGTTCTCCTAATCAATGTATTAACCATTTGGGAGTTGCGCATATGCAAGTTTATGCAGATGGTCATAACCGAAATGATTGTTTTACTTCTACCGTTCTACTCTGCAGTATGGCTCTTTGTTTTCATTGCCGGCACCAACCGGAAAATTACTCTAAAACGAAATTTTTATTTTCATGGAGGTTATGAATTCACTTATTTATATTTTAACAAGTGACAATCGATTGCGTGAGCAATACGAGCATTGTCAACAGTTAATTTATTGTAAGAAATTTGCCGTTTTGTACTATTTTATTTTTTCGTTTGATTTTATCGAATTAAATATATTTAAATGTAATCATCAAAAATCGACTTTAAGTAATCAGTTAGCTTAAAAAGGATCGATATTCAATATTAAATATTCGGAAGTAACACTTTTAAGATAAGATATGTTATGTTCAATTATTTATTATCATTAGTAAATTAAAATTAAAATTAAAGAAATTACTCATAATAGCCTAAGGAATATATTGATCGTGCAATTGTAGAAATAGCATAATGTTTGTTTAAAACATGTTCATTTATCGAGAATAGGTACGATCAGAATATGAAATAAATGAATTTTTTTATAAATTTAATTACTTATTTGAATTAATTATTCCTATATTTAATCTCATAAAAATTCACACGTATTTTTCTTTTAAATATTTTAATAAAATATTTAATATAACAATTAAACAAGATTAGATTCCATACGCGAACAAAATATCTTGGAAATTAATGTATCAATTAATGTATAGATTAATATGAGGTGGGAAATGAAAATTTTTTATTTTATTTATTTAATATATTGCTATAATAGAAGGAAACATCACTTATACATAGCAGATCTACCAAATTTTCTAGAGTAAGTACATAAATATAAATAGTCGATGAAGTATACCTACAATGATTTGAAAATACGTTAATTTAATATATTTTTTGTTTTTAAATTATATATATAATGTAAATAATAATTCAAATAAAAATCATTAAAAATTCAATAATATCTAAGTAATTCCATTGAAAAACATGCAGTGTTATTTTTAATTGAATATGCATATTTATTTGTACGCTAAGCAAATTATACTATATTGATAAATGAAATCGATGAATTTTACATAAAATTAAGTTTATTTTATTTTAATATTATTCCTGTAAAAACAATATTCAATTAAAGAAGAATATACAGTAAAAGTGAAAGCGTAAATTATCGTAATAATTGAGATGAATTTGTTATAGTTCAACGTGATTGTCACCCAATATTCTCAACGGAAATGGTTGGAATTATGAAATGGAATAATCGTTCTTCATTAATTAAACAGTTGGAAGTTGTCTAAGTTGATGATTATTTAAGACTTTTAGTTCAATTGCGGAGCATAAAACGATATTTTGTACTTTTTGACAATAAATGACACCGTTCATGTAATTATTGCTTGATGAAGGAGTTATGAATAAGAAATTCGGTGCATGTTCGTTCGATTAAATGGGTCACAACGATGTCCACATATTTTGTTATACGAGTCCCAGGTATGGCAATCCAATAGAAAAGATTATTTAACGCAAATGTAGGGGAAATCGGTCGTGGAGCAAACTCCACTTCGGTCGTGTAGCAAACTCCACTATATTTATGTTCAGGTCGTTAAAACACCAGCTGCTCTACTTGTCCATTAACTGGTAACACAGTGATAAAGTCATAACTCACTAATATTCCTGAAATTATGGATGTTCATCTATCTACATTGGAATTCTCATAATATTCCAACAGTGATTGTCTATTAAGATTACGATTCCATCATCATACACTGATTTTATTAATTTCTTTACTTTATTTTTATAGAGTAAATAGAATATATAATAGTGATCATCAAAGCTGTTAATATGGTTAAATAGTCATAACAGGTAATATTAATTTTCCTAATATAATGCAATGACCTTAAATGAACCCAACATATTGTATACTACGTATAATTTTAGTTTGATTTAAGTAATTTACATTTATATCAATTTTAGAAGAGACATTCCATAGTGTTTTTGACTTCAAGTAGGCTATTTTATTGCTTATCCGTTAACCAATATTAATTATCGTGTTGGATGAATTAAGCATGCTTCTTTTATTTAATTCCATACGGATGATAATGAACTAGTAAATATTTGTAATTAAATAAAATTTTATCTATTTTTTTTAAATCGGAGTCTGCAGTTTAATTGGTTTTGAATAGTTTTTATTGATTTTATGTAATTCTCTACTCTATCCGTATTATCTTCTATCTGATATCTTTTATCCATATTAAATTATTTAAACTAGTACTTGAACTGATAACCGATACGAATGTATAGAAATATTTAATTCTTAAATAAGCAATGATCTATAATTGCTATTATTAAATATAATTATATTCTTAATTAAATTGAAAATATAAAACGAAAATATTTATTACTGGAAATAAAAATGTAGCTTTAAGTATTAAATTGAGTTGATTTACTTTTAGGCGGAACCAGCAACTGTGTTTTATATAACACGAATATTTTATACTATTAAAATAATTACATTTATTGAACATAATTTTTTTTATATTTTATAAAAGCTTTTAATAATTAGATATGTATATGTTAATGAACAACATAAATATTCCCATTATATCATTGAACTATTAAATGTATTTTTACGGTTCAATGTATCTTATTATTAACAAATCATAATAGAATTTTAAGATAATTTAATGGTAATTGTCAAGATTCATCTGCAGATAATAAACTCAGTATTTAAAAATTCATGTAATTGGACAAAGAGCTTGATTTTCTTATTTGTAATTTAACTGCTGCAGCTACGATTGATTCTGCCATTATTTTTATTCAACTTTTTTCATGACATAGAATTATTAGAAAGATCTAAAGTAAAGAATGTAGAAGCGATAATTATTAATTATATCAATCATCGTACATAAGAGTCTTCGAGTTAGCTCATGCACCGCATACAATTATTAACAATGAACTAGATCGAGTTACATCGTCAGATACAACAGAGAGGCAGGGAAGGAAACCTTGTAAACTGTAGAAGATTTTCCTAATTTCATTTTATTATAATTATTTCACAAGAATATTGACTATATTGACTTTGTGGGAGCAATTTTCTGTCGTACGTTTATAGGTTTGGATGATGTGTATTTTCACTCGGTCAATTCTTCAATACCGAGGCCAAATTATACCATATAAATTTTTCGATCGCTCGGAGTTACGACTTGTGGATTTATGTGCTTAAAATATAGGATATTCAAAATAGCGAACGTATGTTAATTATCTTTTGAAGTTAAATAACAAGAAATTACAATAGAATTCATTTAGGATATTTATATTTTATATTTTGTATTATTTTATATTATAGCATATGAACATCAAAACGATGTTTTTACTACCATCACACTAATTAAATTGTAATTCT